AGTCCAACCCCTGAGAGAGAGAGAGAGAGGGAGGGAGAGAGAGAGAGAGAGAAAGAGAGAGAGAGAGAGAGAGAGAGAGAAAATAACAGAAGAGAATTGGAAGGGACCTTGGAGGTCTTCTAGTCCAACCCCTGAGAGAGAGAGAGGGAGGGAGAGAGAGAGAGAGAGAGAGAGAGAGAGAGAATAACAGAAGAGAATTGGAAGGGACCTTGGAGGTCTTCTAGTCCAACCCCTGAGAGAGAGAGAGAAAATAACAGAACAACAGAGTTGGAAGGGACCTTGGAGGTCTTCTAGTCCAGCCCTGAGAGAGAGAGAGAGAGAGAGAGGGGGGGGGTAATTTTGAAGCCAAGGTTTAATTCAGAAGGGGGCTCAGGAGGCTAATAGGGCCGAGAGACTAAACGATCACGCAGAGACGGAGAAACTGAATTTCCATACATGTTAACTCCTTGCCCAGCAGGCCCTCTCCAACCTGTCACTCTGGACCGAAATAAATCGGAATGAATTACACCCGGCAATCAAATTCTGCCCTTCTCCCACGCAGCAACAGCACAACGGGTGTAATGATATATATTAAATATACAACGTGCCTTTTTGGAGGGGCTCTTGAGGTGGATTTTTGAAGCCATAAAGTAAAGGATCCTCCTTTGGGGGGAGCCCGGACGTGAAATTTCCAGTCACGTTTTCCCTGCCGGCTGCATCTGACAAAGCGACGGATTATCCCTGAAATTGTGTGGGGCCAGTTCAGGCCCTGGTCCGAGGCGTTTTCTCCCTGTCTTAAGAGAAGATGGCAGGGGTAGTTCTCAACTTACGACCAGAACGGGACCTTCAGATTCACATCGCTAAGCCAGGCGGCTGTTAAGCGAATTTTGCCCCGTTTTTAACGACGTTTCTCGCCAGACTTGTGGAGTCAATCACCACAGTTGATGAATTAGTAACCTGGTTGTTAGGGGAATCTGGCTTGTCAGAAGGTGGCCAGAGGGGGTCAGCTGACCTTGGAACACAGCAACGGTCATAAGGACCAGTCAGTTGCTAAGCGTCCGAATTTTGTTCAGGTGGCCGTAGGTCGTTAAGTGTGAAAAACGGTCCTGAGTCATTTTTCCCAGTGCCGTTGTAACTTCAAACGGTCACTAAATGAATGGTGATAAATCAAGGATTGGCTCTCCGGCATGGTGACCCTGATCTGTTTGCCCCCCCCCCCCCACGTGTCGATTGGATGAAAGGCTGTTAAGAGTCTGACTCTCCTTTGGTGGGAAGCAGCCAGATTGTCTCCCACCCACCCACCCACCCACCCACCCACCCACCTCCAGGCCTTACAAGCCACCCACCGAGCCTTTTCGTAAATACGAAGCGGTGTTTTCTGTTGTCAGGTCTCTTTCACCTTGAACGAAGACCTTGCAAGCATCGACGGTATTGGGGGGAAGGCAACGTCCATCAGTGCGCCGAGAGACCACCCCTTTCTTCTGCAAAATGTGGGAGGACAGACCCTAACCGTCTTTACCGAGAGCTCTGGAGGTAAGTGGGATGGGATGGGATGGGATGGGATGGATGGATAGATAGATAGATAGATAGATAGATAGATAGATAGATAGATAGATAGATAGATAGATAGATAGATAGATAGATAGATGAGAGAGTGATGATAGATACATAGATACAGTAGATAGATAGATAGATAGATAGATAGAGAGAGAGAGAGAGAGAGAGAGAGAGATATGAGAGAGTGATGATAGAGAGAGAGACAGATGGACAGATAGACAGACCGATATAGATAGATGATAGAGATAAGAGAGATGATAGATAGATAGATAGATAGATAGATAGATAGATAGATAGATAGATAGATAGATAGATAGATAGATATAGATAGGTAGATAGGTAGATTAGGTAGGTAGGTAGGTAGAGACAGACAGATAGATATGACAGTTGATCCATAGCAAATTAGATGATAGATAGATATGATGGATATGATGGATAGATGGATCAATAGATATTAGATAGATAGATAGATAGATAGATAGATAGATAGATAGATAGATAGATAGATAGATATAGATGGATAGATGGATATGATAGATATAGATAATATGAGAGATAGATAGATAGATAGATAGATAGATAGATAGATAGATAGATAGATAGATAGATAGATAGATAGATAGATAGATAGATAGAGATGATAGATAGAGATATGAGATAGATGGATGGATGGATAGATGGATATGATATAGATAGATATTATAGCTACCTAGCTAGATATGATAGATATAGATAGATAGATAGATAGATAGATAGAGATGATAGATAGAGATATGAGATAGATGGATGGATGGATGGATAGATGGATATGATATAGATAGATATTATAGCTACCTAGCTAGATATGATAGATATAGATAGATAGATAGATAGATATGATAGATATGGATAGATAAAATAGATAGATAAGATGGATAGATGAGATGCATAGATAAGAGATGGATGGATGAATGAATGAATGGATGGATAGATGGATGGATAGATATGATAGATATAGATAGATCTATTCCTTCCTTCCTTGGAAATCCTTTGATACCTTGTCATCTTTTAAACCCAGCTTGAGTTCACGTAAGCTGGGAGGCTGCTACGATGAGTCTAGTTCTGAATGCTTGGCACATATTTTCTAGGCTGATGGAAACCAAATCTGACTTGAGTTCTGTGTGAAGTTCTGAGAAAATTCATTTTGATTTGTCTACTTTCTCTGGGGAGTTGAAATCATGGCACCATCCAAGGTGGCTTCGCTGTACAATTCCGCTCATTAGGCAAGTGCATGATGAAGCAAAAGTCTCCTGGGCCACCAGTCCTTCACGTAACTCAGTTAGTGAGGAAGAGGAGGAGGAGGAAGAGACGGCTGGGTGGGATTTGCTGAGAGTTCTCCGGCGTTGCTGAAGCTCCGGAAGGAATTCTGCATTTTTTCCCCCTCCCTCTTTCTTCCTCTCCTTGTTTGGATGCCCAACGTTTCGGGGCTGTCAGTTATCGAACTATTACTTCTTTTTTGTATTTTAACCGTTTTAATCCATCATAATTTAGGTCAGGTTTCTCAGGGTGCAAAGCGTCGTAAAAAGATTAAGGAGCAGTTTAATATTTTGTAATACCGGAACGCAATTTCTTTTTAAAAAAAGACCGGAGAGCTGGCTGGTTGGAGGGAAGACCCAGTTATTATCTTTGCTAGGCTATTTTCTTGTTTGTGCATGAAATATAAACCATGTTTTTTGTTCTGGGAAAATCACCATATGTACATCACCGGTTGCCACGCAACGGTGCAATTTTGACTACCCGTTATTTCGCCTTTAAGGCTGCTCCACTTCTACATTTTGGGAATGTATTTCAATATTAACCAGACACGCCGGGCAAATTGTGCATTTTTTTTTTTTCTTTCCCAAATAGAGGGTTACGGTATAATCTGGTGAACAACGGTATTTAATCTGCGATCAAACTGATAACGTTTAGCTGCTTAGCAATAGACCTGCCCTGTTGACGAGTCAAAAGGTTTAGAGTACAGGTCGGTCCTCGGCTTACAACCATTCATTTAGTGACCGTACGAATTTACGACGGCATTAAAAAAAAAATAAAAATGACTCGGGACCGTTTTTCACACTTACGACCGTCGCAGCCTCCCTGTGGTCACGTGATCCAAATTCAGACGCTTGGCAACTGACATGTACTTGCGACTGTTGCGGTGTCCCTGGGAGTCGCGTGATCCCCTTTTGCGACCTTCTGACAAACAGTGGGGAAGCTAGCTTCACTTTACAACCGTGTGGCTAACTTATCAACTGCAGGGATTCACTTAACGACAGTGGGAAGAAAAGTCGCAAAGCGGGGCCAAACTCGCTGGAGACTAAAACCTACGAAGAACGGCTGCGGGACTTGGGTTTGGCTAGTCTAAAGAAAAGAAGAAACAGGGGAGACAGGATAGCAGCGTTCCAGTATCTGAGGGGCTGCCACAAGGAAGAAGGGGCCAGGTTGTTCACCAGAGCACCAGAGGGAAGGACGAGAAACGATGGTTGGAAACTAACCAAGGAGAGAAGCAACCTAGAATTAAGGAGAAACTTCCTGACAGTGAGAAAAATTAACCAGTGGAACAACCTGCCTCCAGAAATCGTGGGCGCTCCATCACAGGAGATTTTTAAGAAGAGACTAGACAGTCACCTGTCTGAGATGCTTTAGGTTTTCCTGCTTGAGCAGGGGGCTGGACTAGAAGACCTCCAAGGTCCCTTCCAGCTTCTATTCTATTCTATTCTATTCTATTCTATTCTATTCTATTCTATTCTATTGTTTTCCATTCCATTCCATTCCATTCTATTCTATTCTATTCTTAATTCTATTCTATTCTATTCTATTCTATTCTATTCTATTCTATTCTATTCTATTCTATTCTATTGTTTTCCATTCCATTCCATTCCATTCTATTCTATTCTATTCTATTCTTATTTCTATTCTATTCTATTCTATTCTATTCTATTCTATTCTATTCTATTCTATTCTATTCTATTCTATTCTATTCTATTGTTTTCCATTCCATTCCATTCCATTCTATTCTATTCTATTCTATTCTTATTTCTATTCTATTCTTATTTCTATTCTATTCTATTCTATTCATTTCTATTCTATTCTTATTTGTATTCTTATTTCTATTCTATTCTATTCTTATTCTATTCTATTCTCTATTCTGTTCTGTTCTATTCTATTCTATTCTATTCTATTCTATTCTATTCTATTCTATTCCATTCCATTCCATCCCATCCCATCCCATCCCATCCCATCCCATCCCATCCCATCCCATCCTATTCTATTCTATTCTATTCTATTCTATTCTATTCTATTCTATTCTATTCTATTCTTATTTCTATTCTTATTTCTATTCTATTCTCCACTGGGGTACCCCAAAATCAACTTTTCTGAGTTACCAGCATTGCTACATTGAAAAGCCTATAAAGCAGCACAGAGTCTGACTGTAGATGTGTTCTGGATGGAAGCTAAAAGCACGTAGGTATAACTTTCAGCACTTATATACTGCTTCATAGTGCTTCACAGCCCCCTGTAAGCAGTTTACAGAGTCAGCCTATATTGCCCCCAACAATCTGGGTCCTCTATAAGAGGACCAATTCTGCCTGTTTCCAGAACCTTCCCACTCTGTCTTTCCTCACCCACCCTGAGACCACCTCTTCCCACCGTTTGGAAGCTACAGTTAAGGGTAGTTCAACAAAAACCCGGCACATACTATCATCTTTGGTGGACAGGCCCTAAAGCCAAAAGATTTGGGTCAAGAATACATATATGGTTAGAGAAAATGACTAAAAAAAAACACACAGATTTTTTTTTAAGCCAGAATTATTTTTGTTCCGTAAAATTGTAGGAAATCGTGAGAAGGAATGTGCATATTTGATGTTACGTGTATTAACAGCAGCGAGAATTGTACTCGCTCAACATTGGAAGGATGAAGAATTACCAGCGGAGGAAGAGATAATTAAGAAAATTTTAAATTGTGCAGAAATGGACAGACTGACCATTAAAAATGAAAGAGAAAAAAAAGATTCAGATTACTTTTGAACATGGGATACATTTTATCGGTGGCTGGAAAAACGAGGTAGAGAGAAAGGAGTTTAACATGTATTAGTAAACTAAACACTGGAACCCAGACAATATGCTGCTGATAAAATATTAAGGATTTGTGGCTATAAAAAATAATAAAATATTGAAAGGAGAAAAAAAAGGGTAGTCCACTTGCAATCTTAGAAAAATTCTGATTATAACGGACTAGCGGTAGGAGAAGGGCTGGCTGAATCTGGGGGCGGGTGGGGTCAAAACAGGGCTCAGCCTAGTATCCCTACGTAGCCACAAGCAAACTTAAGTCCTACTTCCCGTGAATTCAGTTGTTTCTTATCTAACTCCTAGCTAGCAGGTTCTAACCATTAGTTGAGAAGATTCCTCCGCATAAATATCCCGGCAATAAATCAAATTTAATTGGACCTTTTGCATGCGTACCCAGTCTTTCGCAGCTGACACCGGCCCAATTAACAGTCTTTTATGTATACTTATGCGCTCATGCGTATAGTCAAGGCCATGGTTTTCCCAGTTGCAATGTATGGCTGTGAAAGTTGGACCATAAAAAAGGTTGAGTGCCAAAGAATGGAGGCCTTTGAATTATGGTGCTGGAGAAGACTCCTGCGAGTCCCCTGGACTGCAAGCCCATCCAACCGGTCAGTCCTAGAGGAGATCAACCCCGACTGCTCCTTAGAAGGCCAGATCCTGAAGTGGGAACTCAAGGACTTTGGCCACCCAATGAGAAGGAAGGACTCCCTGGAGAAGAGCCTGATGCTGGGAAAGATGGAGGGCAAGAGAAGAAGGGGACAATGACAGAGAAGGAGGGGGCTGGATGGAGTCCCTGAAGCAGGAGGCCTGGGCTTCAATAGACTCCAGAAGATGGTAGAGGACAGGAAGGCCTGGAGGAACGTTGTCCATGGGGTCGCAATGGGTCGGACACGACTTCGCAGTTAACAACAACAATACGCTCATATTTCCTCTGCAAACCACCTTCCCTGCTTCCCTGCTGTATTAGCAGCAGAGATTGAAATCTTCCAGAAAAATGTACACCTACTACTCGTTTAAAAATAACATAGCTACAACCTCTAGCCCTTGCCCACATCTCTTCCCTACTGTGCGAACGGAGCCCATGTACTGAAATGTGATTTCTTTGCTTGTTTATTGGCCTCCCTTTCCCTCCCCCCTCCCTCTCCCCTCTCGGTTGGCTCACCTTTGTGGGTTGACAACACACAATGCGAGATGATTTAATCGCCCATCCGCCGGCTATTTCGTTCCTCAGCCTTCCCAGCAGCTGCAGGAGCGATGGGAGAAGACGCATGTTTCTCTCTCTCTCTCTCTCTCTCTCTCTCTCTCTCTCTCTCTCTCTCTCTCTTTCCCTCTTTCCTCCAAGAGAGAGGGAAAAATATTTCTGCAGTCCAGGCGGTCCTCGACTTTCAGCAGCTCATTTAGTGACGGTTCGAGGTTATCACGGCAACTGAAAAAAAAAGCGACTTACGGCCGTTTTTCACGCCTAATGACCGTTGGCGGCATTCCCCCACGGTCACGTGATCAATGCTCAAACGCTGGGCAGCCGACTCGTGTTTACGACGGTCGCAGCGTCCCCCCACGGGGTCGCGCGATCCCCTCCGGTGACCTTCGGACAAGCAAAGTCAGTCGGGGAAGCCCCAGTTCACTTCGCGACCGTGTGGCCAACTGAACGACTGCAGCGGTTCACTTCGCCGCGTCGTCGTCAAGGAAGGTCGTAAAACGCCGCGAAACTCACTCCGCTGTCTTAGAGAGCGAGAGGAATTTTGAGCGCAGCTGTCGTAAGACGAGGATCGCCTGTACATGAAAACAAATGTGTGTGTGCACTTGGAGTGGGAGCAACTAAGTTTCATTTTTAATGGGTGCCACTGTACCCTCAGGAAAAAATGACATAAAGGTCTGTCTGTCTGTCTGTCTGTCTATCTATCTATCTATATGATGTTTATATACTCCACTAACTTATCACCAAGGATCCCATAATCATCCTCCTCCTCCTTTTCCTCCTCCTCCTCCTCCTCCTCCTCCTCCTCCTCCTCCTCCTCCTCCTCCTCCTCTCCACAAGCCCTACTCCCTTCTAACACTGATGATGTCACCTAGTTGGATCATGAAACATTTGCAAGATAACAAACTCAATACCAAGAATCTCCTCCTCCTTCTCCTCCTCCTCCTCCTCCTCCTCATTCCCCTCCCACCTCCCCCTCCTTCTCTCCACAAACCCCACTTCCTTGTAGCACTGATGATGTTACCTAGTTGGGTCATCAAGGCCGTGATTTTCCCAGTGGCAATGTATGGCTGTGAAAGTTGGACCCTAAGAAAGGCTGAGCACCAAAGAATGGAGGCCTTTGAACTCTGGTGCTGGAGAAGACTCCTGCGAGTCCCCTGGACTGCAAGGCGATCAAACCGGTCAGTCCTAGAGGAGATCAACCCCGACTGCTCTTGAGAAGGCCAGATCCTGAAGTTGAAACTCAAGGACTTTGGCCACCTAATGAGAAGGAAGGACTCCCTGGAGAAGAGCCTGATGCTGGGAAAGATGGAGGGCAAGAGAAGAAGAAGGGGACAATGACAGAGAAGGAGGTGGCTGGATGGAGTCAGTGAAGCAGGAGGCGGGAGCTTCAATGGACTCCAGAAGATGGTAGAGGACAGGAAGGCCTGGAGGAACGTTGTCCATGGGGTCGCAATGGGTCGGACACGACTTCGCAACTAACAACAACAACAACAACAACGAGTCTGGTCTTAATATTGGTTCTTTATGCTGCACGATATGAAATCTTTCAGGATAAACCTTCTGTTTATAGGCCTATTTGGGTGGTTCTGTTGCACTTCCTTTTTCATACCCACAAATACATGGAGAGAAGAAGTAGGTGTGATATAGAACAATTAACCAGGGGAACAACCTGCCTCCAGAAGCGGTGAATGCTCCAACACTGGAAGTTTTTAAGAAGAGACTGGACAGCCATTTGTCCAAAATGGTGTAGGGTTTCCTGCCCGGGCAGGGGTTTGGACTCGATGACCTCCAAGGTCCCTTCCAACTATTATTATTATTATTATTATTATTATTATTATTATTATTATTATGAAAACAATAAATCCAGTGATAAGCCTCCAATTTTAAAGTGACTTTCTTTGAGAAGTCATCAGGTTTCCCTTTTCCATGAAGCCTTCATTGCTCTATTCCAGCCTTCCAGATTTAATGGGAATGTAATTCCCGTTTTTGTAATTAAACCAGCATGGCCGGTGAGTCCAAATTTTAATCCCAGTTGGACAACGCTGGGTTGGAGAAGGCCAATTTCTTTATTGGATAGGTTGACCAACGCCCAGAGACTCGTTCAAGCATAACGATACATAAAATCCATTATGTTGATTAAAATAATTGATCATCCGGCTTGAGACATCTTTGGCAATAAAACGAAACGTTAGAACCGTCGAGTTCTTCCTTTGTTTTTGCAGTCATGGCTTTTTAGCTTCAGCAATACGTTCTAAACTGCGTTTTCTCGGTCTCTTAAGAAGCCGCGATGGAAAATATTTTAACTTTGTGAAGCAGATGACATCGAGCGCCCAATTTTTTTTATTAAAAAAAAAAGAATAAAAAAAAATCCCAAACGTTGCAAAACCTGCAGGAACAGATGTATCACTTTTATTTATTTTTCCACGCTTTCTCTGTACTTTACAGCTTGCAGTCTGTTGATATACCCAGCCGTTATCCTCGCTTTTTGAAATAATGTCATTAAATCTCTTTGCAACCTCAGTTATTTTCCTTTTGCGTGCTGTGACCCCCTTAGTTTTGAATTTTTCCAGTCATTTTTAAGCCATCAATCATTTCCTCTCTTCATACCCCCTTGATTTTATGACAACATTTTGGGCAAACTGTTGTCCATTCTTTATAGCACGGGAAGAGAATTACGATAAGACTTCCAAGGGACATTGAACCGGTTGCAGAAAGGCAGGAAATTGAATTTCCATCATAGGAATATACTGATTTTTTCTACTGAGGCATGCTTAGCTAACAGCCCTAATATAGTATAGACTTAGATTAAAAATAACTGCAGTCTTACAAAGGTGATGCAAAAAAACCCCCTCCGAGCTGAGAGAGTACCAAGGACCCTATAGTTACAGTCTATAAGGCCAAACTAACTTACAACAGTTAGTAACTAATATTAATTAATTATAAATTAATTATAAATAAAAACGTAAATGTTCGTTTGTTCAAAATCTTAAATCTCCGAAAGTTCTTCACCGATTGCTTTGAAATTTTGACACAATGTTGCATTCGAATACGCGCATGTTTTTATATACCTACTATTATATAGATGTCACACCTGTGACAGGTAAAAACATTTAACCTGTCTGAGCCACAGCAATGCGTGGCCAGGTACAGCTAGTAGCTAATAACAATGAAGCTGGAAAAAATTCCTCACTCTTGTTTTTATCGTTCTTTCTAGAGAGCCAGACAGATGAAAAATCAGACAGCAGCAATAACGGTAAGTAGTGCCTCCGACCTCTTGAATACGAGGCTAACGGTATTCATGCCAATTCTTCATTTTTAATGTTGGCGTTAGGCTACCTCTTCAAGCTTCATCCAGAGTATAATGAGAACCGCTGGGGTGAAAGTGTGAATTCAAATGCCTTCATTGCTCTAAATTGCTCTAAATTGCTAAAATGCGCCGTTTCTGAAAGAGAGACCGAGTTCCTTAGCATCTTCCAAACGATTTCTGAAACGTAACGAACGCTTACGCCGAGTGCATTTGTTTGCGTTTTAGGCACGGGAAGAAAATGTGTCTTCGTTGCTTTCATTTAAATGCTAATAAGCAATTTGCTGGCCTTTGGGAAAAGTTAGGAGAACTCCAGAGACAAGATGTACAAGACGTTTAACTATCGTTTGGCAAACCAAATATCCATTGAAGCGTAGTATCTGCAAGGCGGTGTCTCTCCACCTTGACTGCTTGACGATGTGTGGACTTCAACTCCCAGAATTCCTGCCAGCATGCTGGCTGGGGAATTCTGGGAGTTGAAAGTCCACACATCGTCAAGCTGCCAAAGTTGAGAAAAGCTACCGTAAGGTGTGATTATAGATCAGGGGTCTTCAAGCTTGGCCCTTTTATGACTGGTGGACTTCAACTCCCAGAATTCCTCGGCCAGCGTGCCTGGCTGAGGAATTATGGGAGTTGAAGTCCACCAGTCATCAAAGGGCCAAGTTTGAAGACCCCTGTTATAGATTCTATGTGTTAGTCCTGTTGTCTTTTTTTTTTGGTGACTCCCTATTAATAGATGATATAAAAACTCAAATAGGAAGAGGAAGCAGAATACCTAATTCTCCTTCTTCCTCCTATCTTCGCCAGAACAACCCTGTGGGATGGGAGGAGCTGAGAGAGAAGGACTAGCCCGAAGCTCATCAGACAGCGTTCAAGCCTGAAGCAGGAGTAGGGAATGGAATGGAATAGGATAGAATAGAATAGAATAGAATAGAATAGAATAGAATAGAATAGAATGCAGAATGGAATGGAATGGAATGAAATAGAATAGAATAGAATAGAATAGAATAGAATAGAATAGAATAGAATAGAATAGAATAGAATAGAATAGAATAGAATAGAATAGAAAATATGGAATGGAATAGAATAGAATAGAAAATATGGAATAGAATGGAATGGAATAGAATAGAATTAGAATAGAATTAGAATGGAATGGAATGGAATAGAAAATATGGACTAGACTAGACTAGACTAGATTAGAATAGAATAGAATAGAATAGAAAATATGGAATGGAATGGAATAGAATAGAATAGAATAGAATAGAAAATATGGAATGGAATGGAATGGAATAGAATAGAATAGAATAGAAAATATGGAATAGACTAGACTAGACTAGACTAGACTAGACTAGACTAGACTAGAATAGAATAGAATAGAATAGAATAGAATAGAATAGAATAGAATAGTTGGAAGGGACCTTGGAGGTCTTCTAGTCCAACCCCCTGCTCAGGCAGGAATCCCTACACCATTTCAGACAAATGGTTGTCCAGTCTCTTCTTAAAAACCTCCAATGATGGAGCACCCACAACTTTGGAAGGCAACCTGTTCCACTGATTGATCGTTCTGACTGTCAGGAAGTTTATCCTTAGTTCTAGGTTGCTTCTCTCCTTGATTAGTTTCCATCCATTGTTGCTTCTCGTCCTGCCTTCAGGTGCTTTGGAGAATAGCTTGACTCCCTCTTCTTTGGGGCAGCCCCTGAGATATTGGAAGGCTGCTATCCTGTCCCCCCTCGTCCTCCTCTTCATTAAACTAGACATGCCCAATTCCAGCAACCATTCCTTGTATGTTTTAGCCTCCAGTCCCCAATTCCCAGTCACCTGGTTTCTGGGCCACATCTGAGCAAATAAATCAAACTGACTCTTTACAATTTAGCCATAGAAGATGCGTAGCTTTTACCTGAAACACACCAGTCATTCTCAGATGCGATATCTGATTGATGGACGAGTTTCTTGAAAAAACAAATCCGTTAGCAAATGGCCATTTGCAGCGTGAAATGAATGTTTTTTTTCTGCTGTGTTTTCAGCAAGGAGCAGCTCAAACCCTTTTAAAAAACCCACTTGCTGTCTTCTTAATGTTACTATTTCATTTGAGATTTCTCTGTTTGATTAGCCCTATCAGCATCAGAGGAGGCTGAAACCCGATTTAATGTTCCAAAGGATACCGCTGATAGTTCCCAATTTCTCTTCTTTGTGTTCTAGAGTCAGGACATAATTTTTTATTGTATAGTACAATATATCTCTCTAAATTGTTTCTTGGGGGAGGAAGAACAGCTGTAGCGTTTACTCTGTCGTGTTTCATTTTTTTTGAGGTTTAGGTCTTGAAATATGCTTTGGAAATGTCCTTTTTGAATAAGCGTGGCTGCTACCGTTCAACATCTGCCATTTTGCGCTACATAATTCAATGGAATCGCTTTCTGTTGTCCTTACTGATTCTGCTTTTCAAGTATTTGTGCTTTTGTACCAGTTGTGTCCTAGGTAAAAAATATGGTGGTTATCAACGTTCCATGGAACAGGTTGAGTTGAATTGTTTACATGTGGTTAGCCATTAATGCATATTTATTATCTCATTTGAAGCAATTGGGGAGGGGCCTAGCAGTTTGTGGGGCCACAGATAATCCTGATATCCCCTATTTCCCCCCCTCCCCGATAGCTACTAAATCAGTGGTTCTCAACCTTTTTAATGCCGCGA